AAATGAGTCTTGAAGTCTCAGCTTCACTGAAGGCAGAGCAGAGCCCATGACTAACTGCGTTATTCTGAGGAGTGGGAATATATCCTGTATATTTATATTTTACAGTTTGATTGCTGTTGAGAGGTAGGTGAAGAAAATTATTTTTACTTCACTTTGTAAGAAACAAAGATGCAATCCAGTCAGCCACTGGCTAAGTTGGCTACAAAGGCTCTGCAGTCATACAACTTGCTTTCCTGCCATCCCAGAGTACTGGGACTGTACTGAATGGTAAAGATGCTCACACAGTAATGCCTCAGAAGAGCACCCTTGCTCTGTTGGCAGCCCAGGTTATTCCTGTGTACAGGATACCAGTTGCTGTATCCCTGTGCCTGGAAGGTAGATGCTGACCTGTGCCTGATGCAGGAATTTTGCTGTAGGGAGTGGGATGCACAGAGGAGCACACAGATTGTACGATGGGAGCTTGCTCTCATCTGCTTCCCTCACTTGCTCATTGTTTCAGCTCTGATTCTACTCTCTCAGAGTCTTTGGGTTTCTGGATGCAATGTTTTGTGCTTGGAGTGAAGCCCTGGATCCAGACAGCTTTCTCCTACGTGTCTGTTGTTGGTAGTGGTGGGTTTTTTTCTTTTTTTTTTTTTTTTTTTTTATTTTTATGAGGAGTAACTTGTTCCGTCTTGTTTAAAAGTCACTCGGTGGATGTTAATGAAAAGCATACCTGGAACCAATTGTCTGAATAAAATGGATGACTGCTGGGTGCCAGGTGAAAATGTTAACTGAAAAAGCTATTGGATGTCATTTGTCTGCTTGGGAACACTCATTGGAAAGCATCAAGAAATCATCTTTCCCTGGAAAACAATCTGAAGTAACTTCAGGTGTGCTTGCCTTGGAAGAAGGTTATTCTCTTTGGCATGAATGATGAAGGTGCTTGCAGCAGAGAAGAGCTGATTGTCTCCAGCAGCTCAACATCTGTACGCAGATGAAGACAGCCACGTTCCAAGGGCTGTTTTCAGGAAAACGCTACTCAACTCATGTTCCAGAAGACCTGAAAAGGCAGTGCCTGAGTGGTTCAACCTGCCTCACTACCACATCTTGGAAGGTTGAAATTGCAAGAGGGGCGAAAGTGATGCAATTATTATAATTCTTCACACTACAAGATAAGGATGTCACTCTGGAACCCACTCGCATCACGTCTCGTCTTTGACACAGAGTATTGCAACCAAAGGACCACGAGCCATTGTTGATCTCTGCTAGCCAAATCTCTCATGTTCTGGACACTTCCAGTGGTTATCACCTTACGATTCTTTTAGTTGGGAAATGCATCAAAAGCTGTGCTAATTTGTAAATGGCAAGTGTCCTTTAAACCAACTGTAAGGTGCAAATTGCAGGAGGTGAAGGTTCAATTCAGGGTACTGTTCACCCAGGATGATGGCATGACAAGAGTGGAGATGAAAAGAGGGATTTCTTACCATAAGACGTGTCCCAAGTATCACAAGGTCAGGATCTGCTACCAGTTTCTGTGCTGCTGGGGTTGCCCCTTCATACTCAGGGTCCTGATAGCATTTGATCAGGATTCGAGTCCCATAAGAGCGTCTAACTGCAATGTTAAAGGAGGACTATCCTTTAAAAGTTACCTTTTTACATAATTTCGCATACTGCCTGCTCCTCTCTAGGTTGATGTTTAAGATAGCTGGAAAGTCTGCTACAGCCTAGAGAACGCGTCCTGCGGCACGCTGTGCGTGGGACTCTGCCTAGAACAGGAAGTGTGGGATATAAACGAAGTGGTCTGGCATAAAAATATAGCTACTGATTCAAACTGATTGCTTTGGATAAATATGTTTTCCTTCTGACTTGCTGAACTTAACAGGCTGAAGTGAATCCTGTTTAAGAGTGGGTCCCATGAGTAACAGCCATCTAGGATACTGTCCAGTCCTCACATAGTATTTCTGCTCTGGGAGAGGGTGCCAAGGGCAGGAAGGAGAATAGAAGGCAGTATTGCTATATTTGGCCGAAACTAAAAAGGCAACTTTATGCTTATCAAGATAGTCCTCCTTTAAATACGCAGAATCACAAGTAATCTCTCTAATTTTCTTGTGTCCGTCCGTCTTTAATTTCTCCAGATACCGCAGGCAAACAGAACACCAACGTATCCTATGGGGATTTAAAAACCACGTCGATGCAGTTGAATTAGCACCCATAGCGCAATCCCGCAGCCTGACAATGAACTCTGCAAGGCTGTTTATCAGAGGGTATGTTGTTGAATATTTGGCATATTTTTTTCATACAGTGCAAATAACCAAATTTCTTAGGAGAAAAAGACAGAGCTACCTAGAGGACATTTCTTACTTAAAAGGGGGAAAAAAAAAAAGGTGGCTTTCATCTGTTTATAAAGCTTCTAGTCTCTCAGAGCCTTCCAAGTTGAGTTGTTAGTACCATGTAAAGTTCAGTTAACCAGAGGCCTTTTTGGTGCCTCTCATCTTCAGTGCATTTCATAATTTTGTTCAGAAGAAAATACTTGATTTGCCAGAATTTCTCACTTGTGGAGTAATTCTGATGTAAAAAAATACAGCCATCTGTCTTGACTGGGAGCATAAATTGTTCACTCTGTCTCTACTGTTAGAAATTGTCATTAAAATACAGTGCTTGTTTAGGGCTCCTTCGTCATATAAATCTCCTTCTGGAGATTATTTGGACTCCTGTGAAATATTAGTTGCGTGCCTTGTATTGCTGCATTTCATCAGAGGGGAAGCAAACTATCCCGTGGACCCTGACGGTTTCCTTTGGTGTTTAGATTGTATTGTAATGTGTATACACTGTGTGATGCTATCTTGTGATGCTGTATTCAAAAATCTAATAAAAAAAGAAATAAAAAAACGTGTGAGTAATTTTTTTTTTTTTAATCTGTGTTGCGGTAATATGTGATGCACATCCAAGTCAGTTCCAGAAAATCTGGGATATGTTTATTTTGCCTGAAAGTACTTCTCTCAATGAAACAATGATTTGAATAATACAGCTCAAAAAAAAAAAAAAAAAAAAAAAAAAAAAAAAAGTGTTGCAAAATCATCTCTCCCCTCCTTTAAGTATTTTTCAGTCTCAGTGGCCACAGCAATGTGATGTTTCTTACTGTTGGTTTGGTTATTAAATCGCACTGCCTGGTGGAGCAGCTGGGCATTCTCAAATTAAAGTAGCAAAACTGCTGGGGTGACTTGGACACGCGAAAGTGCTTCTCCCAGGGGTTGAGGATCTGCCAGATTCTGTACATCTGGGTTAATGAAAACCACAGAAATGCAATTTCTTGGCAGTGACCTTGTTAAACTCTGGTGGTTCTGAATTTATGTAAGGAGCTAATACAGAGATGGTGTGTGTTTTCTTCCAGACCTCAGAATATATCATTCAAGCCTACAAGTACGGTGCATTTGAGAAGATCCCAGAATTTATTGCATTTAGAAATCGGCTGAACTCATCCCTTCACTTTGCGCAAGTTCGCACGGAACGGATGTTGTTAGACCTCTTACTTGAAGCAAACATGTAAGTACAGCAGCGCTAAGTGCAGCATCTTGCACGTGAAAAAATGGGAGATTTGTGCATAGGCAGAAAGCCAGCCAGGCGAAACCTCAGTGAGTTGCACTTGCAGCGCTCTGGCAAAAACCCGTGAGCTACTCCTCTTTGCTTCTAATTTGCTCTCCCCTTCAGCGTCTTTCTCAGTACCGTGTGTGTGTAACACTTCTGACATCAGAAGAGTTGAACGGTGGAGAGAATGTGGTTTGTTAGTGAGCTGTGTTTTCTGTTGCCAGTGATCAAATGTTTGACTTGATGTTGCTTATTCTTACGTACAGATCAACCAGTTTAGAAGAAAGTATAAAGTCCATGAGTCTGAGCCCAGAGGAGGATGACATTCCGTGGAAAGATTTGCGTGACAACAGAGACCTGACAGTCTTGTTTAACTGGGATCCAAAAGACAGGTGAGTAGAAATACCCTCAACTGTAGAGTCACATTTTCCCTTACGGCACCCATGGCAAAGAAAATCCCTTCAGGGCAACTGCCATATTTAAGTGTTCTCTAGGCTGGCTAACTGCAAACTTAACAAGCATCATTCATCCACTTCTAGCAGTGCTGCCTTTTTACATATTAATACAGTTCTCTGAATTTCTGACCACTCCTCCCTCTTCATACAGTATTCGATAACTTTGGGTAGGCTTTTATACCTGAGTGAAGCTTGCTACTTCGCAAAATTGAAGCATTTGCCTGAAAACATTTGGTGCCTTTCTCTAGGGACATTTCTGAAGAACATAGGAAACTCTCACTGGAGGAAGAAACCATGTGGTTGCGAATCCGGTCTTTAACTTTAAGACTAGTAAGCGGACTCCCAACTCTTAGTCACACTATTCAACCAAAGAACTCTGAAAAGACTGCAGAGAACGGCGTCTCATCCAAGATTGATACAATTCGATCCCTGCTTCAGCAGCTGGAAGCGGCAGTGGATTCAGGGAAGAAGTTTCTAGAACAAAAAATTCAGGTACCCATTAAGGAAAAAGCTATCCCCAAATATTAAATGAACATGAATGCAAGCAGAGAAACTGAATGCGTCTTGTAACGTCCAGCAGGCTGCAGAATGCACGTAACTGACCCTGAGTTTGTAGTGTATGAATCTGACTGAGAGATGTGCCAGAGACAAACACTGTGTTCTGGATAAGGAAAAGCTGCAACACCTTTATCTTTTTCTTTGCTTCTTGCCTAGTATCCTGTCCTTGGCCCTCCTCCTACCCGAATGGCTGGCTTCTTCAGTAATGGCAGCTGTCAATGCCAGACTAGCTTGTTTTATCTTGTTAGTGATATTTATGAACTAGATACCAATGGCTTAGGTAAGTGTTTGAGGGGCAGGGGGGTAACCAGATTGTCATGATGTGTGGTGGGAGGGAGCACGATGTGTCTCTATTTGGTTTGAAAACTACTAGGTGTTGGCTGATGTGGAGCCAAACTGTTATTGTGTGTTAACTTAGTGTCATTCAAAGAATTATCTGGGAGACAATGCCTTAATTTAAAGTTCTATGCAAGTCTTCATTTTTGTACAGAATATGTTGATGTAATACTGGATCCTTTCTGAAAGCAGTTGGTTTTGGTTTTGACTGCTAGCACTAAATTACAGTTAAATGCCTCTTAGTTTTCTGGAAGCAGAAAATACACAAACTCGTGATTTATAACTACTTTTTTTTTTTTTTTTTCTTTCAGAAGATTCAGCAGAAATCCAGGAGAGGATAGGGAATAGTTTCAAGTCTTTAGTAGAACGACTAACAGGTAAGCAGTAACTCAAGAATAAACACCGGTAGCTTCCTGGTGTGCTGAGGATGTGCTGCTGAGTGTGGCGCAGTTACGGGGAAGTGCATTAATGCATCTGCAGACCCCTTTGAAAGATACTTGAGAACAAGGCTGAGATTCCCCTGGGCTTGTCTCATCTTGAGGCTGTTGCATGCCACAGAATGTCGTTATGTCCTATCGTTTCGCTGCCTTGCAGCCTAGTCTTAGCAACTGTTGTCTCCCTCGCACTTGGTCCAGGTGTGCTAATAAACAGAGCAGAGATGCTGTTTGTAATGAAATACAATTCGGAGGAAAACTTCAGAGCTGGACCTTCTACGAGAGGCTTTGGCGAAATTTATCATTAGCTGCTTAGTGGTCAGTCCTCTGACAGCTTTGCATGCTGCACTGCGATACACACCGTACAGAAAATATGCATTGAAGTTGATCTACGCGTCCTGAATAAGGCTTTTCTTTTGTCTTTTCAGACTTGTTCAATAAATGTAAAGGTGATTTGATTGAAGTCAGAGATGGCACCTTGAAAACTCATCCAAACCTGTTAGAAAACCTAGTCTTCTTTGTTGAGGTATGTCTGTCTTTGGAAACTAAAAATTTTGGAGTACTTTAGGGTAGAAATGTTGGGACTAAAGTGAAGTTCTTTGCTATCAGTTGCTCATGAAAGCAGAGGACACAGTGAAGGTTCTTTGCTATCAGTTGCTCATGAAAGCAGAGGGGTTGCATATTCTAACTACTCTGAGTCTTAACCAGTAGGAACATTAAAATGAGTTTAGAAGCCGCCTGTAAATGCAACTTGTAACATACTTGTACCTTTTTTCCAGACGATCTCCATTGCTCTGTGGGTATCAAGTTACTGTGACAATGTCCTTCGACCCTTTAAATCCAACCTGCAAAAAAAGAAGAAGAAAAAAAAAGAAAGCAGTGTAGCTATGGTAGACAATATTCCTTTATTTTCTTCCCTCACCCCCAATCCGACAGCATATTTATGCTGAGAGGAAAGTCAGGATAGATGACATGTTAATAAACTGGTTTTCATAAACTTTGCCTTGCAGAGGCTGACGTAGTAGGTTAGAGATTACTCAGTACTAATTTTTAAAACTCCTATTTAAAATCAAGTGGTGATGTGCCACATCTCTGACATCACGTGACAGCTTTATAGTACAATCTAGAGTATCACAGGCCTGCCTTTCTGCCTTGAATGCCCTACAGTAAACTAGTTAACTGGGAGTATTTATCTGGGTGGGCAGATTATAGCTCAGCATTGGGGTGGAGGAATGGAATGATAGATGTTACGAAGTGAGTTATAAAGTAGTCATTTGAATAGGCATTAATATGTGTTTATAAATGTATTTGTTTTTATAGCCACCTGTATTTACACACTTTCTGGATTATGTTGCTGAACTACAGACATTAACTTCCAATGTAATAGATCACATCAAAGGGCTTGAAATAATTCTGACTGCACTAAAACTTGAAGAGCTGTCCCTCAAGGACACTCTGCTTTTACAGGTAAGTACTTGCATTATTTATGTGCTCTGCACATTTGTGTGTGACCGATAACGATCTGTATGTACGTGCCTATGGGATAATTTTGTCAAAAACTTCTTTTCCCCAAAATGTTTTACTGGAAGGAAAAAAAAAAAAAGGAAAACAAAAACAATCCTAGATGTTATGATTGATTTAATTGCTGTTAACCAGAGGTTAGGGACCAGACTGCTAGAAAGCTTAGTTTTGGAGTGGTGAGTTTGGGGTTTTTCTTATAGTGACAGTGACTTCGCTTCATCTGATCAGCTCTAGCTCACTGCACAAAATAATCTCAAAAAAATGAGATCTAAAAACAGGGATTTGAAAATACTTTCCTTTTCTGTGGTACGTTAGCGAAGAAAAGCTTAAGGTTTTAACATTATTTTGTTTGTGATATGACTTACTCGATTATCTGTATTTTAGCATGCCATAATGGATGCAAAATACTTATTTCAGGAAACATTTGAGATTCACCTACTGCTCATTAGTCACTTTCCTGGAAACAATTACTTGATCTTTAAAGAAAAACAAGTGGCAACTTCCCCCCCTCTCCCCCCCAGCTGTATAGGGAAAACCAGAGGCAGCAGTAGCAGGCACTACACGTGCCAAACCTCCTGCCAAATTTAGTCATGGGGAGCATGGGCCTGATGAGGAAGCTTGGCTTCTTAAGCCATGGCAATCAGATAAAGGTTAAACTTCGCAATAGACAAGTTAATGAACAGTTAGAAGATCTCTTACAACAGTAACAATACTTAAATGAATGTATTTGTTTAAAACAGTGGTTGAGAGCCTGAAAACAGTGTCAGAGTCCAGCTAAAAAGCCTAGATGTGACTAAAAGCATAGAATTGGCATTTCCTTTATGGTGCTCACGAAATGCAGTACAGCAAAGTGGTGGAGTAGGCATCATCCTCTGGTACACAGAGGAGAGCGGCTGGGGGAGCGGTGAGTCGTGCTCCTTGTCAAAGGATTGCAGATTCCAGGAGAAAGGTTTGAGTCATCTCCTCACCGGTATTGGTTCAGAGGGTGGGAGAGACTGATTTAGAAAGCACAGGCAGAAGTTGTGTTACCCAGGACCCCCGACAAATTCAATTAGGAATCAGCACTTAAAAGACAAAAACAGGTCTTGTATATATTTATCTAAAAAGGGAAATTCAGCCTACAGGACGTTGCTGTTCATGTTTGTCCTAATGGGAGATCTGAAGGCTTTTGAATTGGGCGATACCAGGATCTGCAGGAATTATTGCTGCTGAGCAGGTGCTGCTTATTCTGTGATGATGATATTTCCTTTGTAAACTTACACAGTGGTCCTCATGAACTTCGTATCGGTGTGTGAGATGGTGGGGGAAGTTAACTGGGAGGATTTAAATGTTTGCTGCGGAGTAAATGATTTCTCTTTTGCATTTTGCAGGAAGAAAAAAAGTTTACAAAGACTGTGCAAGGGAAGGTCCAGAGCAGTTACCATCACTCAGTTCAAGAAATTGGAGAGCTGCTGAAAAAGAGACTTGATACCATTAAAAAACTAAAGATTTGAGAAATGCATCCTTGACAGACTCCCCAGGGGAGTGACACCAGAGTCCCAGACAGAAGCAACATCCAATATACCATCACTTTAATCCAGAACTTCCTCATAATGCATGAAGGACTTAAAATCATAAACCAATTTTTTTAGGTATTACAGATGTATTGAGCTGATGAGCTGATTTAAATTATTGTACATAAATGAGAAGCAGGGACCCTTATCAGGGTTTGACCACTTTTTATACATGTTCATAAGCATATTGCAACAGGAGAAAATTAACTTTCTTCCCTTTTGATCTCTAGGAACAACTGGAGATGGTCTTTAGAAGCAGCAATAGAAATCCAGTGTAAAGCATATATCTCAAAGGAGTTGTATTTTCATCACCATACAGTGTTTATAATTTTTGTATGGTCTTTGCCTTAGAAATGCAGAAATTGTAGATGCCCGCATTCAGCTGCCTCCGTTGAAATGAGCCCGGTTTGGAGCTGCCCATTTTGTCCGCAGGCCACCTGGTCCTACTGCATTAATTGAGCGTGTGGGTCCAGCGGGGAGAGGCGAGGCTGTGCTGGAGGAACACCCTCTGCATCCAGCCTTCGGGCCCAGCCCAGCCCTCCGTCATGGGGTGGGAGTAAGCCATGCCTGGTGGCGAGGCAGGTTCCTCTGAGGAGGGGAGGACCGCTGGAAGGAAGAGGTAGTGTCAGCGTACACACAGGTGGTTTTCACGTTCAGAAAAATTGCAAACCTGACGAGGAGCAAACTTGGCCATTGAGCTTTAGAGAGAGAGATGGGAATCAGTGTTCCAGCAAAAAAAAGACAAAACCAGAGACCTTGTATATAACAGCTGCAGTGAAGTCTGACGCTGCGGCCAGATTTCATGTCAGTTTAATGTAAAACAGCAATCATCATGACTTTCAAAAAGTGTATTTAGATTACTGAAACTTTAAGACTTCGATATTTTAATAGAAATTAAATCCTATTGGCTTTGGTTTTAAGTTGGCAGAGGTAACTTTTGCTTGCGCTGTGGTATGAGGCTGAGAATACTTTCTGTAAGTGTATGCTTGCTTTTTGCAGTTGATCTTTGATTATTCAAGTACTAGCTCATTAGGCATTCTGTTAGAAAGTGCAATCGCATCATCTGTTCCCACTGAATCTGCATTTCTGCTGGTTGGGTGTTGGTTTTGTTTTGGTTTGGTTTTTTCTTCTCCATTTTAAAGGAGTAATGCAGCCTAAAATTGGTAGGCAAAAAAAAGTGACATGTACCTGCAATACAAGGGACGGGTCAGACTTCACAGATTCCTCATCTTCTGATTTAAAGCGGCTAGTATCGGAAGTCTATATTTAAAGTTTTTAGAGAGCTGACAATCCTACCTTTGTCATCTCTTCCGAGTATGTTTTGTTAGCAATGCTAGAATGTTGATGAGAGTATTTTTTTAAAATAAATTCCCTGTATAAAAAAAAAAAAAAAAAAAAAAAATCACATAGCTGCTCTTGCTGGATTTAGTTTTGCTTTGCCCCATCCTGAAAGGGAAAGAAGAATGTCTGCAGGTTGTCTAAATTGTGACGGATGTCCTGATGGTTTAATTGCAATGTCTGGTAAGTGCTCTGGGCTGGAGGAATACCAAAATGTTTTAAGTCTGTTTTATAGTAATACTTTTCGGGAGAAAAAAGAGAAAAAAAAAAAAAAAAAGAAAAAAAAAACCAACTGAATTCTGTTGTATAGAAATACCTTTTTGGAAAGAAGGGTGTGCTCTTTAAAGCAAGACTGATGACTGAAATTGATGCTTTGAAATGCGCAGGGTAAGTGAGAACAGTCCCACTGCTGAGGTGGTGCCATTCATAGAGAAGCACTGAGCCAGAAACCTGCACTGTCCCTTTTCATTCAAAGAGGCAAATTGCTGTTGCTGATGTTCATGTCCCCTCCATCCCCCATGGCAGTGTGAACTAGAGAGGGCTTTGCGCAAACACCAGCATTGAATGCTAAGTTGACACAGCACCCTCATCCAGAGGGGACAATCCAGGGGCTGATTAATGCTGGAGTTTCCTTCCACTGCTGCTACAACAGGTTGAACTCAACCAGTCGTATCAATAAGCAACGGTGAAAGCATATGTGAAGTGTAAGGTTAATATAACCAAGCTTTTCAAATCCTCCCATGTGCCTGAAAGCAGAACTTGCTTAAAAAGAAAAAAAAAGGTTTTCTGCATCAGCTCCCTTAAAAGCAGAACTGAAACTGCTGGGGAGGAACGTGTGACATCTGAAGCAAAGTCCGAGAAGAGATGGAACTGTGGCTCGCGCTTGCTTCCCATCACAGTGTTTGGCACGGCGCAGGTCCAGCGTTGGCTGGTCACTCCAACCATCCCCACGCCAGCACGGGGAATACTGACTGCTGTCCCGTTTCCAGTTCCAGCCACTGGTGAATGATAAGCTTGTCAGACAAATACAGTTTTTTGATTACTCAGTGTTTTATAAAACCAGGTGCCATCTCTTCACAAGCTGTAGTTTCTCTGTAGGAGGAGACTGTGTACAAAAATGACTGTGTACTGACTGGGGGCTTGGTTGAGGGAGAGGGAGAATTTCTCTCCCCCTATAAATTGTGTACAGTTAAATATATTATATATTTCTTACGAAAGAGCATTTCCTCTCCAGAATATGTCCCACAGGGACCTGATAAGAAATCCAAGGTATAACCCATTGCTGCTGTACCCCCTTTTCCACTCTTGGGATTTGTTTTTGTTTGTTTCGGATTTTGGTTTTTTGGCGGTGAATTGAAAAACGTACCTAGAAGAAGCTACCACGACTACTGTTTACAGACTGAAAAATACTGCTTTTGTACTACTGGGATCATGAGCCACGATCCTTTTACAGATTTCCTCAACTCTTCTCTGCTTAAAATCAGTGTCTGATGTAGATAAAGGTCAGAAGTCCTACCCTGCTTTGTCTACATACGGGACAAAATGTACAATGCCTGTTTGTGTTGCCCATCACTTTTGTACTTTTAACTGTTCAAAAATTGCGTTTATATTTTGCAATCATTGATAATCATGACTTTATTTTAACCGCTAGTAATCTTAGAGGAATTTTTTGTTGTTGTTGTATCTGCAGCCTTATTTGAACTTTCTCTTCCTTGATTATTCATTGTTAATTTATGACTGTAGAAGATACGTATGCCTCAGCCTTCTACGGACTTAAGTGACACAACTGCAAATGATCTGCTTTAAACTGGATGGGTTTATAATTTATATAAAAGTCAGTTTCGTTACAAATCAGTATTGCTGCCTCTTTCATTTTTCTGTCCGATGGTCTGTGAGTGACTGAAGTGCTTGTGTACGCTGTCCTAGCTTTGTCAGCCCCTTGGTGAAGCTGGATTATTCTGGTGCAGGATGAGCAATCAAGTTAGCTGCTAATAGGATGGAAAGAGAGCAGGGAAAAATGCTCCTTGCTTTCCACCTCCAGACCCGGTTCAGAATGATGTCTGCTGGGGGGAGGGAGCTTGGATGCGTCGGTTCTTTGACATGATCATCTGTCAGTCTGCTGTTCAGGCTTTCTGCATTGCTCGCTTGCGCTTCATCCTGGCTTTCGGCAATAGGGAAGGCAAGGGCTGGCAGTGCATGAGAGATCTCCTCTAGGAGCAGACAAAAACGTGCTTGAAGGCTGTGGCAATGCTGAGGCAGAGGCCGCCCTGCCTGGCCTGCTGCTGTATAAAAATACAGGCAGCAG